AGGATCAAGATACTTTCTTACTATTTTAGATGATCACAGTCGATGCACTTGGGTCTATTTACTGAAAATGAAATCTGATGCTTCCGCTGCCTTGCAAAGTTTTTATACTATGATTGAGACACAATTTTGTTCTAAGGTTAAAGTAATTAGGACTGATAATGGAGGAGAGTTTAACTTGAGACAATTTTATTCTAGCAATGGAATAATACACCAAACTTCATGCGTTGAAACTCCTCAGTAAAACGCTATCGTTGAAAGAAAGCACCAGCATATATTGAATGTAGCAAGAGCACTAAAATTCCAAAGTGGATTGCCTATGAAATATTGGGGTGACTTCATCCTAACTGCCGTTTTCTTGATAAACAGAACTCCAACACCTATCCAGGATAATAAGACTCCATTTGAAATTCTTTTCAAAAACAAACCTACCTATAATAGCCTCAGAGTCTTCGGGTGTTTAGCATTTGCCACCACACTTACACAAAATAGGCACAAGTTTGATTCAAGAGGAAGGAAATGTGTCTTTTTGGGATATCCTTTTGGAACTAAAGGATACAAATTGCTTGATTTAGAGAATAACAAGATTTTTATATCAAGAAATGTCGAATTCTATGAAGACAATTTCCCATTTCAAAACTGCAAAAATCAGGACTATGTTGATAATTTAAATATCAATCATAAACTGCCTACTCCTACTCAGCTATCCTATTCAGAACCTATCAATGATAACTTAGACTATCCTCCTTCGTTTGATTTTCAATTGCCAGTAGAATCTGATCCAGAAACTGATCGAAACATAGAAACCTCAGAGAGTAATCAGCCTATTCCTAAACCTGCAGCTCAACCTGAATCCTTCAATGACTCTTATGTTCCTCGAAGGTCTGAAAGAAGTAGGAAAACACCTACTTATTTGTAGGATTTTATTTGCCAACAAGCTGCCTTGCTCTCCCATTCTCAAAAGTCTGAAAAGGAGAAATGAACTATGACTTCAGGTACCCCTTTCCCTCTATGTGCAACAATTTTATATCACAAATTATAAAACATCATAGGGTTTTTGCATCATCCATTCTTGTGCACTCTGAACCAAAAACTTATCAGGAAGCTGCCAAAATCCCTGAGTGGTACAAGGCTATGAAGGATAAGATATGTGCTCTTGAGTTAAATAAAACCTGGACCATGACTGACTTGCCATCTGGGAAGGTTCCTATAGGATGTAGGTGGGTTTACAAGATCAAATTTAATGCTGATGGAACCATTGAAAGGCATAAAGCAAGGCTCCTGGCAAAGGGATATACTCAGTTAAAAGGAGTCGATTATCACGAGACTTTTTCTCCTGTGGCGAAGTTGGTAACGGTAAGGACATTGATAGCCGTAGCAGCTGCAAGAGGATGGTATTTACATCAATTTGATGTAAATAATGTATGTTTACATGGGGATCTAGATGAGGAAGTGTACATGGATATGCCTCCTAACCATCCAAATTCCAAGNTTTACATCAATTTGATGTAAATAATGCCTTCTTACATGGAAATCTAGAAGAGGAGGTGTATATGGAAATCCCCCCTAGATACTCAGCTGATCAGACTTCAGAACCTCACAACAATGAAACGTTAAAGGTCTGTAAGCTCAACAAAAGTTTGTATGGCTTGAAGCAAGCATCTCGCCAGTGGTACTCCAAGCTGTCTTTCTTCATCATCGAGCAAGGTTTCCAACAATCTAAGGTAGATTATAGTTTATTCACCAGAAGCACAGGTGATTCGTTCACTACCATACTTGTTTATGTCAATGACATAATAATTGTGAGAAGTAATGTGAAGATAATTGATTCTCTTAAGGATTTCCTTGATGAAAAATTCAAAATTAAGGATCTAGGAAATCTAAAATATTTTCTTGGAATAGAAGTTGCTAGATCAAATAAAGGCATTCAAATCTGTCAAAGAAAGTATGCACTAGATATCCTATCAGATTTAGGAACGATTGGAGTCACTCTGGCCAAAATTCCATTCGATCAAAATGCCAAATTGTCTAAAGAGATGAAGGGAAAGTGTTCTCTGATCCAGCCTCATACAGAAGACTAGTAGGCAGGTTGCTTTATCTGACTATCACCAGGCCTGACTTATCATACTTTGTACACCTACTAAGTCAGTATATGCAAGCTCCTAGAACAACGCATATGAATGCTGCACACAAGATACTTAGGTATATAAAGAAAGCACCAGGCTTGGGACTATTCTTCTCCTCAACTTCAGATTTGCAGCTCAGAGCTTATACTGATTCAGACTAGGGAGGATGTCCAGATTCTAGAAAATCGATAACAGGTTACTGTGTCTTCATTGGGCCTTCACTGATATCTTGGAAGTCCAAGAAACAGAGTATCATCTCAAGATCATCTGCTGAGGCTGAGTACAGAGCGATGACAACCACTTGTTGTGAGCTAACTTGGCTTAGATACATTCTCAATGATTTGCGAATCCACACCCATAAGCTTCTGAGCTATTCTGTGATAATCAGGCGGCTTTGCACATTGCAGCCAATCCGGTATTTCACGAGAGAACCAAACATATTGAGTTGGATTGTCATTTGATTCGAGATAAAATACAGGAAGGAAGTATTGTTACAAGGCATGTAAGAACTGGTTCACAAATTGCAGACATATTTACTAAACCTCTGTGCTCTGCCGTGTTCCACTCACATTTGTCCAAGATGGGAGTAAAGGACATCTACTCACCACCTTGAGGGGGGCTGTTGAAGATCAAAACGTAAAGCTGGAAATGCTAGAAGGATCTGGAAGCTGCTGGAAGCTGTTGGGGTGAAGAAAGNTTTGTAGCTTTGTTCAATACATTTTAAGTAAGAAATATTTCATACAGCAGATAAATTTTCTCTGCTCATTCAATCCAATCTCAAATTACATTTCTTAGTCAAATTGTTTTAAACTGTACGAGATCGACCAGAGAAACTCGCAGGAGAAACTCTTTTGTACTTAGATAATTCCATCTTAAAAAAAAAACTGTTTGTCTGGGAGGTGCAATTGATTTTTCTATCTCGAATTTATATGATATTACACAAGGTAGGAAACCAGGAAGATAATCTTTTTTTTGATTTAATTTTCTTTTATTTGATTCCCAGATGATTATGGGAAGCTTTCAACGCAAATTTGGTACTTGTTTACAATAAGGGATAGAAAATACCAAAATGAGAACATAAATGTATCTACAATTGATGGATATTGGAAAAGTAAAAGGAGATGATGAAAACGTGGAGCATAATGGTGATACTGTTGGATTTCGAGAGACTTTTCAATTCTACAGGGGAAAACCTGGTAGCAGTAGTAAGACATCTTGGCTTATGCATGAATTTAGAGTGATTGATCATCTGCCCAGTGTTGAAGGTCAAAAAAAGGTCTAATGTATAATTTTTAGCTTTTTAGATTATCTTTGTAGATAGTATGTTCTTCAGACAAATAAATTATGAGTATGCTCTAATTTTTGTACATCAAGTACAAGAATAAAATGAAATACGATGTTAAATTTTAATAGACAGGGGACAAAAAAAAAAAAAGGAGCTGATGGAATTTTATTATTATTATTTTTTTCCTTGTAGTTGGAGAATTGGGTTTTGTGTGAGATATGGAACAAGGAGAGAGGCTGGTATTATGAGAACAAGTTTATTATTATTTTTTTTCCCAAAAAAGTCCTACAACTTGAGGAAGAAGAGACTGATTAGCACATGACCTTTATGTTCTTGTTTTCCTGGTTTTTTGTTAAGCGTCGACCCAACATTTTATTTGGTTATAGCATGAACTAATTTTCATATTGCTGTCAGGGACGGATTTAGGGCGGGGGGCTGTGTCTGCAAATAACATGGCTTGCCTGTTCTTGGTTGGACTAACTTATTCATTTTGTTTTGTGAGAACTGATGTGCTAATTGTTCATTTAATTTGGGAGTGAAAGAGTGTCAATGGAATGCTTTGATCTTTTGAACTGGTCCAATAGATAGATTAACAATAGAAAGAAAGAGGCCAAAAGAATTTAGTTGTGATTTTATTTTCATCTTTGTTACAATGGTAGTGAGTGATGGGGGATGGTTTAGGGGAATTTGATGCCCGGCTGCAGATTGAATTTCTAGAAGAAACCTATTACTATTAGATTCAAGCTTGAAGCAATTGGCGTGGATTCAAGAAAAGACGTCACAAAATGTTGGGATTTTAGGCTGTCACTTTGGAAGAATTGTGACATTGTTAGAAAATCCATTGTCTGCATTGGATGAACCAAAATCTGCCTCGAAGAGCGAAAAGATAGTAAAATAGCTTCAAGGAGATTTAATATTCCATACAGTTGAACTCTTTCCATGTGTTTGTTGAGTATTTTTGCATTTTATTCTCTGTATGTGACCTCAACTTTGATCTTAATTAGCTTTGTGACCGATGATATGATTATGTATTTTGATTATTTTAACTAATAATGTTAATTTGAGTAAATTTAGGTGTTGATTGGTGAGAGAAATACTAACATGTCAAATATCTGATTTTCTCTATATCTAATCCAACAGTGTGTAAGATGCAGACCAAATATGTGGATGGTGCAAATTGAAAGAAAAATTACAGAATGAACAACCAAAACAAAAATGAATGAAAATCACTGTTTACAATCTTAAAAAATCTTAACGAATGATTAAATTCTAATCGATAACTATTTGACAATTGAGGTACATCGAAGATTGAAAAATTATATATTTCAGGATACATACAAGAATTTGGAAGCGAGAAACTCAGATGATCAAACAATAGGCAGTAATATTTCTGGGAATTTCGTCCACGTAGATGTAAAATTGCATATGAACATGCTTCCACTGTCAATAAGCAAATTGGTAAACATTGAAGGCACTTTTATTTCAGTGGTAAGGTAACCTCTTGCTTTGTCTAGCTAACTAGCGTAACATCTCTAATGATATAATACGACATTCATTCTGAAGTTTTTAAATGTGATTAGAATAATCCATGTACTGTGAGAGTTGATTAATTGGGTTATTTGAATGCTAACGATTTGCTTGGGACAGCTGAACACCCTATAAAAAGTCATAATCGTTGGCCCAAGAAACCATAGAAGTCATGTTTTTTTCAGACTTCACGAATCCACTCTAAATTACACAGAGAACTAAAAAAAACCAAATCATCTCGAAACAACAATGGATTACTTGACAAATTGAACCAACATTACAGACAGTTTTAAGGAAGAATGTCTTATCATACTTCGATTTCATTCCATACTACATATGAAACATGCTCCAATGATAATTAACTGCATTCATAGATACAAAACAGGATGAGTGCAGCCATGGGTCGAACATACAACCACCACAAACATATAACAGATGTTTGGTAACTCAGGAGAACGTCTCACATAGCGATAATGTATGCCACCAGCCACAAGCAATATTCTTGGGGACAAAGTTGTCGAATGGAACTTGCAAAGGGATATTTCGATCCATTGTATCTCCTAAACCGAGCTGGAAGAGAAAGCAAAGAAATACATTAAATTATAAAGTAGACTGAGAAATGAATGCTTTATGCATCATGGATCATACATACCTGACCATACTTATTCCATCCCCAGCTGTATATTTTACCATCATCTGCTTAAACATTCAGAGAAAAGAACACCATTATCCTTGCATCAAGGGAAATACCCAGTTGGGGTTCACTACACAACCACAACCAGTTATGATAGATATTCTCTATTCTAAACATAGCCCAGTTCAGCACGTTTGGCTAACCTGAAGTTGCTTTTTAAGGTAAATTTTGTATCTAAAACGTGTTTTTTTCCTCTTTATAAGTAAAAAAATGACATATTCTTGACTGAGGGATTTTTCTTTCAAGGTAAATTTTATATCTAAAACACACTAAGACAAGTTCCTCTTTTTCTTTTCCAATAGTTAAAATTACTTATTCTTGAAATGGGGGACTTCCAACCTTACCAATTGCCAACTTTAACAAATATAAGAAGTTAATTATTTTAAAACTTAATTATTGTCTAGACCGTAGTACAAAAATACAACTTCCGTCCGACAATCTGGCTCATGTACCTCAGATTGTCGTCGGGAACCTGAAATCGAATCCAAACTAATATAACAAGTTACCTGTTAGTATGACACTATGACGAGCACCACAGGAAACCACTTTGGCATTCTTGTTCTCCAGAACTGAAGCATCCACAAGCTTAGGTATAAACTGTAGAAAACCAAATTATGCTTTTTAATCACTATCTTTAAAATCTGTAACTTCTTTTAAATAAAGCAGAGGATATCAACCAAACAGTGCAACAATTTAGATATATACTGCAAGATGTAATCTCATTTCAAGGAGAAGGGATTCAATTTCTAGAAACGAACGCTTTGAAAGGCTGTTGAAGTTGCAACTGATCAAAGAGTGGATAACTTTGAGTAGTTTGGGACCAGCTGATCCTTGTTGCAGAGCACTACTGCCTAAAACGAATAGTACATCGTACTGGTGGTTTCTGATGAATTCTATAGAAAAGAACAGAGAGTGGATACGTATCAGGTTCAGATCCAGTATACCAGGAAATAGGCAGTGAATATATACCTCACATTGTTCAGCATTTGTTCCCAAACCCAATTGCCCAAACTGATTTCCACCAAAAGCATAGACACGACCGTCCATGCAGATGCATAAAGTATGCCACAATCCAGCAGCAACTGCTTCAATCTGAGTCCCCGATAGTGAAGATACACAAGTTGGTCTCAGCATGTCTTCTCTATTCCCTTGTCCACACTGCATAAAAATAATCTCATGCAATTGCAGTTTCTCATCTTTCTTCAATTATCAGGAAGCTCAACATCCATAGACAAATTTGCATACACTCAAAACCAAATCGATTTTTGCACCAACAATCGGAAATATAGAGACATAAATGCCTCTCCAACTTCTGAAAGTTTATGATGTTTTCATCAATGATTTTTTATTATTTATTTTCAGTATAGCTAGGCAAAATCATTTTAATAATTGAACATGTGGCTTCAGATTGCATCTACTTCCAAGTTCACAAGCCAATATTACTGCCTCCAACACAATCAATAAGTTTTTAACAAAATTTTAACATATGATTCTAAAATTACTGCTTCAAGGATTCCCTAAATTATACCAGTTCAGAACCCATTAGATAAAAAGAAATTGTAGAAAAAAATTTAAGAGGGTAGGAGCCGACACTGCAAACACCAAATTGAAGAATGGAACTCAAACAAGAAAACTGTATTAATGAAGGAGGCTGCAAACACGTAAGGAATATGCTTACCTAAAAGCAATATTTGCCCCCTTCTCGGTTAGAGATTACTTTCGGCTTCGCTCAGGCAAATATTTGTAGTGGATATGACAAGCTTATGGTGACTTTGCACAAAGCAAAAGTGAAAATTCACAGAAGGAACTTGAACACAATGATAAATATTTCAGCAATTTTAGGTTTCAAAGGAAGAAGATGAAATTTAAGAAGTTAGAAACCAAGTCTGTTTTATGTATGTTTTCTTGCATATCAAACTCATCAATGAACCCTCTTTTATAGTTGTTTGGAAACAATTCAAGAAGGGACATTTTCACCATAAAGGACGTGTATATTCAGACCAGGGATTACAAATAATTTTGCACCAGAAATTTTGAATTTTTCTTGCCCGTCAAGGTCGCTCAAACCATTGCTCCCATTTTGATTATCCAATTGATGTTGCAAGTTAAGCCATGCATCTTTTCTAATTGCAACTTAATGAAACCATGCAAGTTCTTTTATCGCAAAATCCTCCCAACTATAATTTCCTTTTTCACTCGAGCCATTAAAATTTCAAATCTCTTTTTATTTGAACAACACATTCCAACAGAAAGAAATATCGCTGCATGAATTTTATAGCCATATGAGAAGGCAATTATTTTGGGGATAAGAAATACAGTTCAATAAGGAAGTTACCTGTCCATATAAACTCCAGCCAAAAGTAAGCAGGACACCAGCATCTGATAACAAAAAGAGGAAGACCTTACAAAAGGAGTGGGCTAGAATTGCCAAAAAGCAATAGTATCACACAACAATTCCTCATGGCTCACCTGTTATCACTGCACTGTGCCTACCTCCACAAGAAATGCCCTTTATGTAATTTCCTATAGAATTATGAGACTCAGCTGCTGCAATCACACTTTCTTGATGAGCCACATCAGTTTTTTCTTTGCTGCATGAAGATGGATCGATACACGGTATCAGGTGAGGAGAAGCCACTGTTTTTATCCGGGTTCCCAAACCTAGCTGCCCATCACCTCCATAGCCCCAACCCCATACCTGTCCTACATCTAAATCCGGTAAAAATATGATGCATCAGGTATCTTGCTTTATATTTAAGATATCTTTCAAAGATCTTCGCAGCTTTATACGACATATGACCTACAAAACTCTAAGGTGTACCCACAAAGCAGCAGCAGCTAGCCTAAAATGTTAATTTGGTGCACGGCAGCACACAGGGAGGATTATATTAACCTGACAATGCCAATGTATGTCGCCCACCAGCAGCAACAGATGTAATTTTCACCGGTGGTTCCAGCATTACAAGACAAGGTGGCGCTGAAAGACTTTCATCAGCAGGCATTGAAATTTCAAATTCTTGTCGAGTTGATACTTTTCTTCTCTTTATACTTTCATCTTCAACGTTTCTATCATCTGAACAAGAAAGTGATCCGA